TACAGACAGTACTACATACAGAGCTACAGACTACTACAGACAGTACTACAGACAGTACTGTAGACTACTACAGACAGTACTAGAGACAGTACTACAGACTATTACAGACAATACTACGGACTACTACATACAGTACTACAGACAGTACTACAGACTATTACAGACAGTACTACAGACTATTACAGACAGTACTACAGACTACTACGGACAGTACTACATACAGAGCTACAGACTACTACAGACATTACTGTAGACTACTACAGACAGTACTACATACAGAGCTACAGACTACTACAGACAGTACTACAGACAGTACTGTAGACTACTGCATACAGTACTACAGACAGTACTACAGATTGTACTACAGACAGTACTCCAGACAGAGCTATGTACAGCCCTAAATACTGTACTAGAGACAGTACAATAGACATTACTACAGACTACACCAGACAGTACTACAGACAGTGCTACAGATTGTACTACAGACAGAGCTATGTACAGTCCTAAAGACTGTAGAACAGACAGTACTACAGACAGTACTCCAGACAGAGCTATGTACAGTCCTAAGTACTATACTAGATACAGTACAATAGACATTACTACAGACTACACCAGACAGTACTACAGACAGTGCTACAGATTGTACTACAGACAGAGCTATGTACAGTCCTAAATACTGTACTAGATACAGTACAATAGACTTTACTAAAGACTACACCAGACAGTACTACAAACAGTACTACAGACTGAGCAGAACCCTTTCTGTCTTCTGTTTGAGACTGAATGAAACAAAAATCCACACCTGACAAAGTTTTCACACTTTTTTTCGGTGAATCTGACGAACAAACATCCGATCAAACTTGGTGGTTAATAAAACTTTTATGTTAGTATTTATCAACAATAAATGTTGAAAATACTTAAAAAGATGAAATGTTGAAGGGCTCCACAGCAGCTCCTGCCTGAAACGTTTAAACTTCCTCTAATAATCTGAGCTGTGACAGAGCCAGACTCTTATTCTGAAGGGCATCTGAGCTTTAGTTTGAAACTCCAGGTCACTTCTCTTCCTGTTTCCTGTCGACCCTCTGAACATCAAAGCTCCCACGATCCGTAGTGTACTTCCGGGTCGCACGGCTCATGGTTGTTTATGAATAAAAGCTGTCTGTGCACATGAGCTACATACGGATCGGGTTCAGTAACAGAACGACTCCACATCAAAGATCTGATGGACGACAGGAAGGATCGTTGGGGGCGGCCATGTTGGAAACAGAGAAGGAAGAAAGGCATGCTGGGTGATATGGAAGACCCACAATCTGCTGAGTCACTGGTTTTCAAACTTGGAATAATTTTTTTTTTTCAACAACGAGAGATGTTTTTTTACCCAGAGAGTCTGAAACATGATATTTATCAACATCTGTGACTGATTTAGTGAATAAAAATGTTTGTCTGATGTTTGTGTCTAAACAAGTTCAGATTCTGTCGATGCCGAAGGAACTCCAAAAGTTTCACAAAGTTGGATGAGATCAAATCAGAAACTGGAGGCTTCGCTCCGATTGGTCAGCTCAGGTCACCTGATCCAGAGAAATCAAAGTAAAATACTTTAGTGCTATATTTCAGGTGTGGTTTGTTCAATAAAACACACAAACAAGAGGCAACAAAGACTTCTGCCTTTCTGAGAAATGCATTGTGGGTAAAGAACGTTCTGCAGCGTAAAGTGTTAATCACACCTGAGCAGGTGAGGAATGTTCCCATGAAACCTCTGAAGCAGAACAAACTGCTGCTTCAGTTCGCTCATGGACGGGTTCTGGTTACACAATCAGAACAAAGTCAGGCTGCTGCTGGAGTCCTGGTCCAGACGTCCCGGGTCAGAACCGCACACAGAACTCTGAAGGAGTGCTCGGTTTCTGATCAGTGAGCCCTCAGAGGGGGAGTTGGGATGACTCTCAGCTACTCTATCATCAAATCTCAACTCAATGAACTCTGACCTTTATCTGTTTTCATGTTTGCTAATGCTCGCTGGCTCTGGCGGCCATCTTGAATTGGGCTGCACACAGAAACACATCAAACCTGACGGGAGGAGAACGAACGGTCCGGCGAACTGACCCCCGTTGTTTCTGGTGCTTTGGTCTCATTTCTGAAAGTTTTATTCTCTTTTTGAAATGTTAGCGAAATAATTGAAACGTACAATCTGCATTAAGAAAATAAACACATGATTTCTGACAGGAGCTCATTCAGACACGAGTTAAAGACTTAATTAGTTGGACTCTGTGTATAAAGATAGCTGTGACTTGAAACGGGTCAAAGTTAGTTTTTTTTATTATTAAACCTGAGGAACAACTCAGAACTGTTAAAACTGAACCTGTGTTCTAATAAAAGCTGAAAGTTTGTTCCTCTCAGAATAAATCAGATTTAGATTTTGTCGTGATGCAGGTGTCCCCTCTGAAAGCGGCCTTCAGGTTTGATTCTTGTCACGGAGTCTGGGTCCGGCTCATCTCCGCTCAGATCCGGACTCTTTTGTTCCTGCAGATCCGTCTTTTCTTTGTGTTTTTGTTTCACCTGAAAGACTGAAACTGGATCCAACATTTTCTGTTCAGCTTCTTTAAATCTGTCTGAAAGGAAACGAGAACAAAACCGTTCTTTATTCTCCATGACGTGGAACGTTTGGATTTGTTCATAATCAAACTGAATCTGTTGAGCCCAACTTTCAGATTATAATCCGACTCAAGCAGGTCAGTTTCATCAATAACAGACGGCCATCTGCAGACAGTCGTCTGCAAATGATCAGCCGCAGATTAGGGATGGGGCCGATCCAATCCGGTATCAGTATCGGGTTCCAGTAACATCATAATTCACGGATCAGAGTTTTTCGATCCATGAGCCACGTCTGAAGCGACTCCACCTGCGGCTAGGCTGCGAGCTGGCTGCAAAATGTGGAATGGACTTCCTGAGCGAAGGCGTGTCGCATGAGACGTGGAGTAAAGACACGCCTCCGTTCAGGAAATCTGTTCCACAGTTTGCAGCCAGCTCGCAGGCGAGCACTGTGGCTAACCAACTTTCATCACATGCCCACTGTGTGGAAGTATTTTATACTAGAGACACCACAAAGAGAGACAGCAACGTGCGATGTCCGCACAGCCGTCGTCTCGACAGGCGGAAGCTCCGTCTCAACCTACTCTACTACAAACTTAAATATTTGAAAAAGCGCCACACTAGCATTTTCTAATTAATCTAACTCAGGGGTGTCAAACTCACTTACAACAGGGGCCAAAATTAAAACCTTTTTCAAACTAAGGGCCAGTTTCAGAATCTACATGAATATTTTCTTGGTCACAGGTTCCTCATCAAGAGTGTGATTGGTCTCATTTGATGTTCTCTGTTGTGATTTCGACATGATAATCGAAAATTACTGTAAAAAATTCAAGAGATAGAAGTATTTTACGTTTCACACATCATCTTGGGGTCCAGATAAGATGTCAACGAGAGCCATATTTGGCCCCCGGGCCTTGAGTTTGACACATATGATCTAACTCATCCACTTGTAGAATTGCGCCGCTCGGGGTGGCTGCATGTTGGAGCAGCTCTGTTATTTTCATTCTGAGTTATTGATTTTGAAAACTTTAATTTCTCTTTTTTTTTCTGGATGTAAATCACTTTTTTTCAGATGAGTTTATTCCTCTGGTATCTCATGCTGTGCCACTGGAAGGATTTTTACTGAAACCTTTTTACGCTTGAGCATTTGTTATGATGCGTAACCATGGCAACAAGGTGTTTTTTTTTAACAGCCAGGAGCAGCTGATTAACATCTCAAAAGCTCAAATACCTCAACTACAGCCCCAAATCCCAAATGAGTTGAAAAGGAGGCGTCCTGGATGAATTCCCGTCAACCTGGCGGTAGGGCTCGAGTACCTGACTGCTGAGATCCTGGAGCTGGTGGGAAACGCAGCTCAGGACAATGGGAGGACCGGGATAATCCTCCGGCACCTTCAGCTGTCTGTCCATGGCAAAGAGGGTTTCGGCAGACTGCTGGGAGGAGTGACCATCACTCCATGTGGGAGGAATTCTGCCCGGCATTCAGGCAGTCCTGCTGCCCAGGAGGACCGAGAGGCCCGCCGGATCTGACAGCAAGCTGGATCCTGGTGGACGGATCGGTATCTGTGGCCAGATTCTTTGGATTCACTGCAGGAGATCCTTCCTGCCATCATCTATCAGCATCTAACAAGTCTTGAATGAAACCAGGATGATGAGCTACGACAACACTTAACTAGGCACGAGCAGCGAAGCGCTGCGAAGGCCTGATGGAATCGCTCTGTTCAGGCCCGAGCTGCAATTTTTTCCACCAAATGAATTGGCGTTTTGGGGCCTTAGCGTATCCCAAAAGTCACCAAATTTGACGGACGCATCAGGACTGGTTTCCCTTTGGGATTCATAAAGTACTTTTGAATTTGAATTTAATTGAAATGAATTAATGAGCACAAAGATTTTGTAGCCATGGGGCAGAAAGACGAAAGTAGCCGGCAGGAATCACTTCTGGAGTCGTTCCAAAAATAATGTGAACTTCCACCAGACAGCGTGAAAGATAAAGGGAATATTGAGAAGTTGCTTAAGTTCATCGTACTCGTTGACCAAACGTCATCAGTTGTAGAAAACAAAGGACTTCACATTCACTTAGTTTGTGATGATCAGATGAAGCAGCCCTTGGTATTTGATTTGGAGACGGGTAGAGTTAGAGAAGTTTATGTGTATCTTGTATTTAAAAAATACTGACAGTCACTTTGAAACTGCATTTTTTATGTTAACAGGATTTCCTGTTTTTCTGACTTCTGACCTTATACTGGCCTCAAGTTGCCTTTTAGGACATACAGTACATGCATATTTGCCTGTAGAGAGGAGTTTATTACAGCCTCATATAAAATCAACAATAATCATAATAATGTTAAAGTTAACAGAGATCTGGTATCGAAATAAATCAGTATTGGCAGATATCTAAATTCAGGTATTGTGATTGGATCAGAAGTGTAAAATGTGGATCAGTGCATCTCTACCACAGACAGACAGCTGCAGACAGACAGCTG